TTTCGTTGGCCGCGTTTTCTCTTGGCGAAAAAAAACACGTCTCTCCCCCCTCCCCCCCCCCCGCCCTTCCCCTCCTCTCACCGCCTCAACCGATCCATTGTTTCTTGCACACAGCCGTTCTTCCGCCAAGACTGCTCTCCGAGGTCCTCCGTCGGAGAACGGATCTTGACTGACTGAGCAAACGTAATTAACTTTCTTACGTGGGACGGATCACTGCGGAAATTCGCGGCCGTATGCTCTAATTAAACTCCGGTCCACTTGTTTTTTTTTCTTTTCTTTTTTTTTTTCAAGCAAAAATTCGATAGAACACTATTCTGCCGTGACCCGTTAATCCTCAATAAAATTGCCGGTCGTCCGGCGAGATTAAAATTTCGCGAAAGTTAATTACGTTTGAAACCAAATGAACAATGATGCACTTTGTGTTTCATCTATTCGCGTCGCCGAAACTTCGTCACATTTCGTGCGTGCCGTCTGCATGACGTCTGTGTTCCTTTCGCACCAGTATTTATTTTTACTCGTTACAGTCTGTTTATACATCACTAAATGTTAACCGTAATCGAAAGCTATTTTCTGTGGAAATTGTTTATAATCTTTGTAACTGACTCTTATATGTACGTACATGTGTATGTGTGCTTATGTGCACGTGCGCGTGTTATTGTTTCGGATGCGCCTCGTGACTTGGCGATGCCCACTTGATTATTTAGCAAACTAATATGTTTATCAGCATGCCCGCCCAAACGCGCGCACACATACACACAACAGAATAAATACCGACATAAACATCGTCGTCCGATAGACCAGATGTGCCTTCCGCAGGTCGCGCACACGTGACAGATAAGATAAGAGGGGAATGCTGAGACGGTAGTGACCGAAATTCTCCACGCCTACATTTTTCCGTTACGGTAGCAATGCGATAATCGCGTCCCAGAGTCCCTTCTTTTTCTCCTCTTTCTTCCCTCCTCTTTTGGACGTTCCTTTTTCTAAGACGAAAAAAATGCGTGCAGATAACTATGTATGAAAATGCGCGCTATGTATGAAAATCCGGGAAAAAAGGACTATGTATAATCATATAAAATTATATATAATTATATATAACCATATGCAATTTATATATGAATTTTGTCTCTATATGGCTACATATATAATTACATATGTTCGTGCGAAAAAAAAAAAACGGTCGAATGAAAAACGGAGGAAATATTTCGATTGAATTGTTTACATCGTAGGCAGACGTAAACGTAAGCATTTACTTCAATTACATCCGTATAAGTATTTTTTCGATGTAGGACAGGTATGCTTATGTGTGATTATATATAGACATATATATATAGTTTATATATATAGACAAAATTCATATATAATCGTTTTTTTCCCGGGGTAGAGACGCGATGAGGGGATGTACTGAAGACCGACGAAGAGTAACGAAATCACAGATTCGATCGGGTGCGCGCGCGAAGGCGGCCTAACCGCCGGCGAAAAGGAATCTTTTTCTTAATGCGACAGAACGAAGTAATAACGAAACGAGAGAGAGAGAGAGAGAGAGAGAGAGAGAGAGAGAGAGGAGATGAGGAAGAACAAGAAGCGTCGTCGAGACGCCTTGGGGCGCAAGCGCGCGGCGTCGCGTTGCGCGGCCACGGGGAAGAGTCGGGGTCGCGCGATGCCACCTCGAGGCCGACGCGGCTTTGGTCAGTAGTCGCTCTCGGGGTGGCTCGCGTCTCACCGTTCGCTTCTCACGGTCGTCCTCGGCCGAGGATGTGCTCTCGTGGTGGCGAGTCGTGATACGGCACGTGGTGCTTGCGAAGCCTCGAGAACGGAAAGTGGACGACGCTATGATGTGGAGGACACGCGAGGTCCTCCCGGGACGATCCTGGAGCCGGTAGCGGGGTGCCTCGAATCCTCCGTCGTGAAGCTCGACAGCTCGATAGGCTGTCTCTCGCGGAAACGGGAGAAAGAAAAGAGAGAGGGAGAGGGGGAGAGACGCGCTGTCGTACCGTCGATTCGACGCGCGTCGTCGCGCGCTCGTCGTGCGGCCAAGGACGTGGAGGGTGAACGACGCTCCTCTCCGACGGCGTCGTCTCTTCGAAGGAATAACCGGAGCGTGCACGAAGCGTGCTCGCGAAGAGACGCACGCCGGCCGACGAACCGACGCCCCCCCCCCCCCCCCCC